CTTATTCTCATTATACTAAATACTACAGGACCATGCTTTGAGACAAAAGAGGCTACTGGCAAATATCCTAATATTAAGAGAGAAAAATCAGTTCTGCTTACAGAATTTTATAGATGATAATTGGTCTTCTTACTACCCAGGTAAGGCAGGAAGTTTATTTTTGTATTTTATACATAGGGAAGCTGAGATCCATAAAGATTAAAAAGGTCGACGTTTTAAGTCATTAGTAGCAAACACAGAGTGAGGCACACAGATTTACATTCTCTTAAAAATATCTGGAATATATTTAAAAATATATGAAAAGCGGCAAATTCAGTATTTAGGACTTTCAGCTTCATGGGTATTTGGACTGTGTAACACTGGTGCTTTGTAAATGCAGAAGTGTTTGGAGGGAAAAAAACACTACTGGCCTCAGCAGTTACGTTCCATAGAAATACATTTTTCATCTCCCTTTATTAGTAATTGTCCTAACTGATTGGTAACAGATCATTTTCCTTCAATATTTCACCAGCAAGTCAGGTGGGCTCCCTTTTCACCTCCTTTCAACATGTTTTTCATGTTTTCAAAGGCAGTCTCTTGAGGACATAAATACTCCTCTGTATCATACCCCTGTATTTTAAGAGGACAAGTTGTTCTTATGAAGTACAAGGTGTCTATTCCAGTAAGCTCTCACTAATATATCCTCTAGAGAATGAATTTCCTCCAGGCAACAGGGTGTGCAAATGCTATCTATCACCCTATATCATTCTGGCAAATGAAAAAGAATCCAAAACCCCCCAACATTAAAAGCCAAGACATGAAAACCACCTACATTTCTGAAGTACCATACTGAAACCATACAGTGACAATGAAACACCATGCTTACAGCAAGAGCCTGGTCACCATCAGCAAGTAGAAGCCCATGCTTTCAGTTACCTAGAATATTTCAATGGTAATACACTTGCTACTACTACTCAGCTCAAAACCCCAAACACACATTCTTGCCTATTTTTCTATTTAAAAAAAAAATTGTTTAAATGGCTTAACTAATTAGTAAATATGAAAAAGAAAATGCCTTTAAAGATGTATTTCCTAGAATATAAACATTCCCTTCCTTTTAAGTACAACTTTACATAACATATTCTACTAATTGAAAACTATTTCAGACTCATTCCCTTTTTAAAGCACAAATGGCTGTCTCTAAGAGCTTTGTGTGATTCACATGAAATACAAATGAAAGCTAAACAAAATGCTGCCAAAACAAAGCTATCCTTGAATATGCTTACACCGTAGAATAGGCGACATAAAAGCTGCTTGAACATATTATTGAAGCAAGCCTTCCATGGGGAAACTTTGCTAGCACTAAATACATGAATTAATTTTAAATATATAGATGTTCAAGTATTAACTAGCCAGGTAAGATTTTTTAATTTCCTGAAGATAACATTTAAAAAAAAAAAATGCTGTAGGTTATCCTAAAAACATCCACTATGCAAATGTTCTTCAGACTTGCAGTTTTCTCCCCTTTTGAATGCAAAAAAATCATCAGCAATATTCAAATAATCTCTTTTTGTTAGTTAGTTTAGATTTTGGTTTGGTTTTAAGTTGATTAATAGAAGTCCATGATATCATTAGCAAACTATAGAGAAATCCACTCACGTTTATAATCATGTAGTGTTCTGTTTAATCTTCCAGAAACACAGGACAATCATATGTGCTATGAGCTACTTCAAAATGGTTTAATGCAGCATGCTTGTTGTGGGTTTGGGTAAAACTAGCAAGTTATTGGGAGAGATCAGAGAGAATCAAAGCGTTTTCATCACACGCATAGTCCAATAAATTGCTCGAGTGTACCTCAGGACCAAAAGGAGATAGCTTTAGTCCAACACAAAACTAACATTGAAAAGTTAAGCCTTGTTTCTGCATTATTCTGGGGATGCTTACAAACTGAAATTCAAGCTGCTGATGCTTTGGTGGTATTTGCAAACTGTGCGTGCATCTGTGGATTTTGAGGAAGGTTACCACAGTCAGTACTCGTCTACTGTAGTGAGCGTTGCTAACATTTTGGGTATGGCTGTTACCATGCCTCCAGCTGCACATCCAGAGATTTCGGGCAAGACAACATTCTCCAGCAACAGATGAGCACAAAAAGTGTCAAAGGCTATTGGACATCAGGTGTCAACTTCCCAGTGTTAACACCAAGGGAGATTTGCTAAATCCCTTCTCTGAAACATCACTGAGGAGCCACAGAGTCCTTCCCGTGGACAACACTGATGCTGTACTTTTCAGGAGAGGACATCTCCTGTATAAAGATGAGCTACTTCTCAAGATCTCGGTGCTAATAGACCAACAACATCAGTGTTAAGAGGCACACCCTGAACAAGTCATGAATTCAAAACCAGACTGCCATGAACCCTTGCTCCTGAAGTTAGGCAAGGCACAGTCCAGCCACAGGCACCAAGCCCCTCAAAGCCTTCTGTTCGGGCAGAACCCAAGACTGGCCATCCTGTTGCCACAAGAACCATAGAAGCAGCAAAATTGCATAGTCTCGCCAACATCCACCAGAAGAGGAGATAAGATGGCTCCTGCAAGGCAGCTCACAAAGCTGTCCTCAAACCAGGTGTCTGCTCTTCCACTTTGAGAAATCTCATGTTCTGCATTAAGCTGGCTGAATACTGATTATATTCCTGACTTCAGAATGAAAGAGGAATGCGCTGCCCCTCTGAAAATTTCACAATTGTTTTAGGAGGAAGGGAACAGCCAAAACATTTATTGATAGCCAAGATCAGCCCGCTTTTCTCATCCTCTCTGACAGCAACCTAAGCACAGAAACAGATAGGTGTGTTTGATGGAAACTGAAGATAGAAAACATTCTTATCAAATCAACTGAAAAACTAAAGTAATTTTATTTTCCAGAATCAAAGAATGTCAGCGAATTTTCCATTAACAAAAGGTCTAGATGTTTCTGATAATTAGTACGCTCCAGTCTCAGTGGGAGGTAGGCATTTCTAGTCAGCCAGGCTAGAATCAACTGATATACTAAAGAATATACTTAAAAAAAAAAAAAATCCTGGTGTCACTACTTTCCTCGCAAAATCTGAATTCGTGAAAAGCAAGCAGTGAAACCTGTTAAGCAGCTAAGCAGCTAAAAAAAGTTCACCCAGCGCTAGTAAAGCACTAATATTAGACAAGAAGCAGGCTGATCAGCTTGTGCTGGACACAAACGAGTCATTTGCTGGAAAGGACAGCAGTATGCAAGTTTCCAGCATTCACTTTCCCACAATATGCTGATTATCAAAAATATGGCATGTAAGCCAGAAAAATAATCTTGACACATGAATTATATGGAAGCTGTGGAAAAAGCCTGGAGCAACACACAGAGGATGGAAAAATCTGTTGCTACACTAACAATACTAACAATGGTAGCAAGAGAGTGCTTTTTTTTTCCCTACTCTTGTAAGACTATGCAATTGTGACTTTCAATAAAGAGAACCCGCATGCAGTAACTGACAGGTTAATATTAAATCCACTCCACCACTATGGTCACTTGCTTTTCCCTGGTTAGCTGTTTAGCTAATAAAGCAGTGTGCAAATTTTGCAGTGTTTCTTTCTTTGCATTAGACCCAGCCCCCAAAAACTTACAAAGCAATTGAAAAAGTAGAAGAAGTTTAAAGAGGAAAAAAACCCTGAAAGTTATGTTTACAAAATCATATTCACTGCTCAGGCTCCTCAAAGCATCAACAAGAGAAAAAAGCCAAACAGAGACTGGGAAGGGAGTCCTCATGCTTTCAAGGACACACGCTGCTTCAACATAGCAAACATAATCAGCTTTTTCCAGCTATAAAATACAGTTAAAACTGTCTGGAACCTTATCAATACTGTTGGGAGGACAAGTGTACCTAAACCACTTTAGGAAATGGCACACATACAGACCATTCGAGAGATCAGACACTAAAAACAAAACAAACCACAGCCTCCAAATGAAAAACTGTCATCACAGAACACAGAGTCTGTCAGCCTTTGGCTTTGGTCTGTCTCTTTTAGGAACTCATTTTCATGTCAAATGGGTTTGCCAAGGTTTACTTGGACTCTGGGTACAGAGTTTCCTACATTTTTAAACTTCTGCTGTGTCAGTCCCAGTACTTTAAAAAGAAAATTCTGCCCAAGGTTGGATTCAACTGTACCAAAACCTCATTTTCTTTCTGGTTTTATTTTAATAGCAGCTTACCAAGAACAACTGGCAGAACTCTGCCTTGGGAAGAATGAAATTACGCTACCCATGAACTAACCTCACACCTATCAACCTGCAGCAGCTCCTGCAGGAGACCTTGAAGCTTAAATGAGGAATCTCTGGGATGAGAAGAAATCATAAGAATTAATGTATTTTGCCAGGTTAGATTTGAATATTTGCAGATGGCTTGCAATACCTACTTGTTCAATACCAAAAAGAAAGCAGTGCTTTTTGTAAAAGCTTCAAATCAAAAAGTTAAATTACAAAAATTATCAAATATTGTGGTTGTTAATTTTAACACAGAAGTTATTATGACTACCCTGACCTCCTCCTTTCCCACCCTCTCCCAGAAACACTCATACAAGCAACACTTACTGGAGGAAATATTCAGCAGCAGAAGGGATGTGGTTAGCTACACATGAAGTATCAGGTCTTTAATTTCCTTGAAATTTGTGTTCATTGCATTAGCTCCCACTAAATATGTCAAATCTTTGCTCTGAACTGAGACTGATGAAGTCCCTGCACTGCGCAAGTTGGCGGTCTTTGTTAGTTCATGGCACATACAGAACCCAGAGCACCAAAATCAATCTTTATCAGCCTTTTGCAAAACTGTTATTTACTGAATTCAAAGCAGTTAATACTTACCTTTCCAAACAAACCAGAACCCACAGATTTAATAAGACCTTGAAATCAGCATTGGACCACTAGAAGTGCAACACAGTAACAATGATAGTAAATTCCAGTATTAATTCATATATACTTTGCTATTTCAATAATACAATAAAGCTACTGAAGCTTTTAAAGATTTTTTTTATTATGGTTTTATATATTTATATAAAACCACCAAAGCACTTTAAAGAATCATGCTTTCTTGTGTAATACATAAAACTAGTTTCATACTGTGCTTCTGAAAGTCTATCGTGCGCTTTTTCAAGTTATTTTACAGATGGCACATTTAAAAAAAAAAAACAACGGAAGCATGAATTTCTAGTGACTGCAATGCAACATGGCATCCAAACCAATGTATTTCATTACAACTAAGTTAAAGTGTGAGTGCATCATGTAATAAACAATAGCAGTTTGGTCATTTTAATCTTAATTCTGTTTACAACAAAACTAACATTTGTGCTTCACGACCTGAAATCCCATGATATAAACATCAAGTCCTCTGCTGCAAAAATCCCAACAAATTACTGTCCGAAAAGAAAAACATATCTAGAACAGGAGACCAACTTTAAATCGACTCACTTTCGATAGAATTGCTATATTTAAGACTAATATGACATACAAGACACAATAAGGCACAATGGGTGGTACAAACAAATGAATACAGTTGTCCATGAAACTTGTTCTCTTCCACAAATACTAAAATATGTACCGCTCAAGATAAATTTTCTCTTAAAAATGAAATACATCATTTTGTTATGAAAGTCCTATACAAAAATTTAAAATTTACACCATCTGAGCTGCCAAAAAAATAAAAAAGTGTATCAATTTTCCACAAAACTATATTTCTCACCAGCACATCCAGCCACTGGGAAAAAGATATCCCAGCACTCTGGAAAAGAAAAGCGTTATTTCCCCTGTGTTTAAGACAAAAATATTGTATTCTGCATACAGTAGTGTATTATACTTAAAAAAGCCTAGCACTATTAAAATTACACTATTGATTTGGAAATTATTGGTTCACTGCCTGGATGAAATAAGGCACTTTCTTCCAGTGGGCAGCACTTTTCACATATATGGAGATGATGAATCAGGTTCTGGTTAAAAACAAAGAGGGGCTCAGTGAGGTCCCAGAAGACGACAGGAACATTTCAACAGCAGGGGAAGACACAGGAGGTAAAACCTGGAGATGAAACTCTACACAGAAGTGGTCACTCTGTCAATGGCATTATTGACCTCGTTTTTGTTTGAATCCAGTCCTTTAGCAGCATTCATATCATTCCGTAAATTCTCCACTGTCTTTTTCATGTTCTTTAATTCTCCAGGGTGTGGAGTGGCTCGCCTTAGAAGTGTTCTCTAAAAATAAACAGTGCAATAAGTGGTTTTGTCTTTGTCTCTTCGAAAAACAACATATACTTTCAAGGCTTTAGCATTCACATACCAAATACACCAGTATGGATTTTTTTCCTTCTTTTCCCCCTTTTCCTTTTCAAACTACGATGCTTTACGTTGAATGTTATTTTCATAGCTGCTTGTTTATGAAGACAGTGAAAGAGATTTTAAGAACTGTCTAGGAGCAAATTTTTTCCTCTCTTGACCTACTAATCTGAAAGCCACTCAACTGAAGTACAATTACAAGGTATGAAGTGAAGATTCTTTCATAAATATAGTTGGGAATTTTTTTTGTTTTCCTCCAAAAAGCATCCGAGTGATTTAAGATCACATTTCAAACAAAAAACATTCAGCTGGTTTTGAAAGAATCCCACAAGATCTCTTTACAGTGTCAAACACATGTCTGTGTGGAGCTCTGTATGCCTTCCAGCCCCACCACACAGTTTGGTTCTCTTGTCAATTGACAAGAAGTATCTTGAAAGGAAGAAGAGGGAGCATTTCTCCCCCATCTAGACACAAGAACATCTAACATCATTGTACTGAAACCTTTACAAGGAAAACAAAATTTACAAAAACCCCAGTTAGCATCCAGATTAGACACCAACAGAACACCAAGAATAATTGCACAAATATGTATTAGTATAATACATACATACATGCAATTACTTTTCAGTGGTATACATGTAAACTGTGCAGATTACAGTGGAACTGATGACCCATAAATGGGTGAATTGGTCAAGACTGCTTTGTAAATCCGCACTTCCTCCTCCCCAGTAGGAACATAGATTTCTTTTTTCCTTAAAAAGGTTCTTACCTCAAGTCAGACTGTAATACCATGACTGAAAGCAGTTATCATTAACACCTGAGCCCTTGTTATTGTAGGGATATGCTTGGGTTGGCACAGTTTTTAAGAAGCATGATTCTGAATTCCCTTATCAATCACTCTAGAAACCATGCTTGTCGGAGATATTTAGTTTCTGCTGCTTTGGATTAAGCAACCACCTTACTTGAAAACGTGAATGTTCATTTCCCTACCAACTAAGAATTTTTATAGTCACTTTTTAAAGTAAGACCATGTTTCTAGTGGGCTAGAATCCAGACAGTGCCCTGAAGTACCTCAAGCTGAGCTCTAATGAGGACCACCAGCAAGTTTTTAGAGCAGAGAAGCATGCTGAAAATCTGATTGAAGCAGTCTTAATCTTTACAAAGAGTTTTAATTGTTAATGAAAGTTAGTAAAGCTAAAGATCACATTGCATTTTGATCTTCAGTACATGCAGAGCCCAACTTAATGGAGAGGTCTTATAAGTACAGTGACAGATGTTCCCACATCCTTTGTTTAAGTGGGAAACTAATGAGCAACATTCTTGCTGTTTATGGATACTATGGTTGTTTCAATGCAAACGGTGGAGAGGAAAAAAACAAAAGAGAGAGAGAGAGAAAGAAAGATATTGGAAATAGAGAGAGAGAGACAAACAATGGCAGACTTAATGGAGACACATGCCAGAGTACTGGAACACTAAATTAGATCCTATATACTTTCAGGCAGTAAAGCTTCACAGATGCAGAGAAAGATCCTATCTTGTTTCTGTAAATAAAACATCCTTAGCAGACACAGCAAAACAAAGCAAAACAACGGCTGTCCTGCATCGGAACATAAAAGTTATTTTCAAGGCAGGAAAAAAAGAGTAAGAGGCATTTTAAGTCAATTTGAAAAGTTTCAGCAGTCAGCATGAACTGCTACAAACATACACAAAAAGCATGCTGTCGCAGCTGAAATATTTACAGCAAGAGAGCTCAGATACTTTTTACACTTTGGCATTAAAGTCACAGTTTCTGCAGGTATCCAAAGACTTGGAAAACATACCATTTCATTATCCTCTTCATCTTTTTCATCTTCTAAGAAGCGAATTGCACTGACTCTATTCACTGCCCGCTCATTCCATGTTTCATCTGACATTTCATTTACCAAACTCTCCAGTGCACCACATCGTGGTAGGTTATCTGTTAGAACAGCAAAACACAACTAAAAATTCACAGCAAGTCTAAAACATGAACACGCTATATTGTTAATAACTGCAATATCCAACCAATCACTCATCCAAGATTCACAACTGGCTATTTCTATTTTGTTGATAGAAAACAGAACTTGCATTAATTTTCTGTTATCGAGTACATACAATAAATATTTTCTATATAAATGAGAAATTTCTGTACTTGGACTGTTTCCAGTTTGTGGCAGTTTTAGAGTACTGATTATATAATTTAATAGACTTGCCACTATACATGCTTTTCTTCCGGTCCATGGCTGCCATCTGACATTAGCCAGTTTCCTACATGGTACTCCCTAACACAGGATCATTGCTTTTACTGACCTCATCCTTTTAGTATTGCTAAGCACACACATCCAACAATCTTAATTCCAAGCCTTCTACCCTTGAAGTCGTGAGATTCATTTGGAGAGGAGGAAATCTAATTTCCAGTAGTGAGGCCTTTAGAGAATCTCAGTCTACCTCAGTTACTCTTCTTGAGCTAGCTTAACCTTCTCTAAATCTAAAAGGGTTAATTCATTTACGTATTTGCCCAGCGGAAACAGACCTGGGGGTGTTGGCTGACAGCTGGCTGAACGTGAGCCAGCAGTGTGCCCAGGTGGCCAAGAAGGCCAACAGCATCCTGGCTTGTATCAGGAATAGTGTGGCCAGCAGGAGCAGGGAAGTGATTGTCCCCCTGCATTCGGCACTGGTGAGGCCGCATCTTGAATACTGTGTTCAGTTTTGGGCCCCCCACTGCAAGAAGGACATTGAGGTGCTGGAGCGTGTTCAGAGAAGGGCAACGAAGCTGGTGAAGGGTCTGGAGCACAGGCCTTATGAGGAGCGGCTCAGGGAACTGGGGTTGTTTAGCCTGGAGAAGAGGAGGCTGAGGGGAGACCTTATCGCTCTCTACAACTACCTGAAAGGAGGGTGTAGTGAGGTGGGTGTTGATCTCTTCTGCCAAGTAGTTAGCGATAGGACGAGAGGAAATGGCCTCAAGTTGCGTCAGGGGAGGTTTAGATTGGATATTAGGAAAAATTTGTTCATGGAAAGAGTAGTCAAGCATTGAAACAGGCTGCCCAGAGAGGTGGTGGAGTCACCATCCCCGGAAGCGTTCAAAAAACGGGCAGACGTGGCACTTGGGGACATGGTTTAGTGGGCATGGTGGTGCTGGGTTGATGGTTGGACTGATGATCTTAGAGGTCCTTTCCAACCTTAACGATTCCTAGTTTTTACTTTCATTAAAAAATAATCCAGCCACAGGAAACATGATATTATTACTCCACCCTTAACTGATTTAGTGGTGGACTTGGTAATGTTAGGTTAATGGTTGGACTGGATGATCTTAAAGGTCTTTTCCAACCTAAATGATTCTACGATTCTATGATTCTTCTATGATTCTATTTTAACTCTTAATGCAATTTATATTCTTAAAATCCAGAATCTGACACAAAACAGAGCCATTTCCACACTTCTACTGCTTTAATGGTTTCTGTTTGATCCAGCTGCAGAGTATTGAAAGAGTGGAATTAATCTAGGTAAGTTTAGGTATCTACAATACAGATATCTACAGCTGAGCTTTTCTCCTCAGGCCCCCTTTGTACTCAGTGGAGAAGAATCCACATGGTTTCCTTTAAAAGTCTGTTCTTGGATGGGATAAATTACTCTCCAGTGGTTACAGCAAAAGTTTAAATATTAGCTCAGATGAATCCCCTTGAATGTTCACACATCGCTATAAAAGCTTGAGGACAAAAAACATCCAGAAGTTACTGGAGCAGAAGCTCAGCCAAGAGTGAAAAAGACTTTATGGTTCCACCTGACCCAGAGGCAAGTTTCAGCACAAAAGGTAAAAGCAACTTCTACTGCAATTCTACACTTGTTGAAGAATGTAATAAAGTTACTGTACAGCATCTGTGCTTGTAAGAAAATTAGCTTGCTAAAAAGTAAAATGTGTACTTCTTATTACTAGCTATGCAATTACTTTTCTGGTAAAGCGATTGTAGTTGGAAAGCCACCAATTTTCACTACATATATATGTATTTAAGATGTATAATCAATGTACACAAATATGGACACCACTACTTGGCCCACTGGCAAGCCTCAGAATAATGATATGACTAAGTTTTCTTCTTCCAGGTCTGTATTTTATTTATTGTAGCTGGTGTCATTGTATTTTCAATAACACTCACAGCCATGTTTTTCAAGTCTTCTGAAAAATAGTTCAATTACCAAAAAAAAAAAAAAAAAAAGTTTAAAAGTGAAAATTCAACCAGAACTTTGCTACTTTGCTCATTAGAGCTTATGCATGTTTCACAAACCTTTATGGAACAGACAACACAATAAACAAAGTAGTAATACTTCTATACATAATGAAAAACTGACTCTAGGCACTTACCTTGGCAACCAGGCTCAGAAGGCATTTGAGGAAGTAATACACACGTTAAAATCTTTTCTCCTGTTTCAGGGTCTGTATCAGTCTGAAACGTCAGCAAAGGTTGGGACTGGTTATCAGACAACCACAAAGCCTTCAGCTTTAAAGTAGTCAGTGAGAGGGGAAGATATGTCAGCCTAGTTCAAAAAACAAAAGTAAAAAAGTCAGGGCAATCTCTAGGAGATTTAATAGATGGTCATGAAGTCAACTCATAAGTATACATCCCCGAGTTGGAATAAACAGGAATGAGATTAATGGCTCTAACAGAAGGCATTGCAGTAGTCATCAACTCCAACTACTCCATTCTTTTAAAAAGAATCTGCAGTTTAACTTTATACCATAACTCTCTGTAGCTGTGGATAACAGATAACAATGCTGAGCTTTTTCTACTGCACTAAAAAGCCCTGGAAGGCAGACAGCTGCTTCTGCTCTGGAGCCTTATATACACACAATTGTCAGAACAGAAATATATAAGTGCCTATGAAACAATTACATTGCATAGATAAGATGCCATTTGCTTTTCCTCCCTTTTTTTTTTTCTCTTCCACTTAACTTCCTACTAAGCAACTGAACTAATTTGCTGGTTTATGCTTCAATCAACTCCTTTTTGCATTTTGATGTCTGAAGCATATCAACTAAGATTCATGAGAAGCCGCAAGGTCAAAGTGGCATTGTTTGTTATTTGCACTGTACCTCTAAGATGAGACAATATTAGTGTTACTTGACATTAAGGCTGGTAGTTTCAGCTGAAGCTCCACTAAATTGCCCAGATTCTCAGTTTTAATTTAGAAATATACAAATCCAGAGGTTTTTTTAAAATCCTATCTTTTCTTCAGTGTCAAAGGAATCCAGAAAACATACTCATGGCAACACACAATTTATGCTACTTTGGGCCAAGGGGGAAGACTATTTTGACAATTTTAACAGTAACGCTAACAAAAAAAGTCATAACTGGTTTTTTGTTACTTCATTCTTAGACTTAATATCTTTTGCTGTCAGAAAGAATTAAGTAAATTCAGCAAAAGAATACAACAATACAAAAATCTCTTACCTGTTTCCGGCAACATCCAGGACATGAAGTTCAGTGGCTTGTGAAATTTCAGAGGGAATTCGAGATAATCTGTTGTCACGTACAGAAAAGACGTTAAGACTGCAGCACCCCCCAATCTATATTAGAGAAGAGGGAAAAAAAAAAGTCTGGTTTTGTTGCAGTACGATAGTATAAACAAAGGCATGCAGTACGGGTCATGTAATATGTCATAGCACATTCAAGTTACAGTGCCTGCCAGAAACTTCACCCAGAGGTACAGACTGCAAACAAGTGTTAGCTTATAAGAAGCCTGACCTGAAATAAGACTCTTGCAGCAGTTTCTTGAACAGCTATATCTGCAAATAATGTACATCTTTACAAATAGGTCAGGTTCTACCTACAATTTAGAGCCTTCCAAGCCAGGAAGAGATCAGTAACTACATGGATGTCACTTTGTAGATAATCCCCACAAAAAATACTAGCTTTAACTTTCAACTTTTTCTAGCTCTGTGTTTTGCATATTAATTATTTCTCTCCTCACGGTAACTTTAGATACAAGCAAGTGCAATGGGGCTTTAGGCAAGGCAAAATGCTAAATAAACCAAAATTAACTCCCAAGAATTATTGAGTCTGCAAAGAGTAATGAGGAGTTCACAAAAAGGAGAAGACTTTATGAGTAACATCTTTGATGCCCTGTTTTATTAGAAGCATCTAATTTCAAGATGATTCCCATATGAACTGGCCAATTTAATCTAATATCCTCTGTCTCCACCAATTTATCCAAACGTAAGCATCTGCGTTCCCAAGCTAATTTTTGGGTGCAAAAGATAGGATTTTTCAGTTTTACCCTTAAAATATCTGTATTTTGCATCAAAGGTACATGTTTTCAGAAAAATAAACCCTCTACATTTGATTAAAAACAAACAAACAAAAAAAAAACCAACCCCACATTCCACCTTTTTGTTCCAGATGGCAATTACTACTCCTATAAACACCAAGATTATTAGTTTTAGCAACTTGAAAGCTGTTGCAAGGAACTTTTTGTTCCTATTCACAAAGGAAACTTACCTTTGTTTGCTTATCACAGGGAGCTTCAAAAAGCACTGCTGTTTGTTTGCCAGTTCCAAAACTCACCATGAGAAGGGAAAAAATACATGTTTCTTCTCTTACTCCAAGTATTAGAGGCAAAATATCCCAATGCCTTTGAAGCTTTCAAGTTAAGCGGACTTAAACCTAACTATAAACAGCAAACCTACTGAAAGATCCTAGTCCAAAAATTAGAGGACTTCTATAGTCACACACATGGAAGAAGGTTCTTCTGTCACAATATAGCCAACATGTCACTACACCTTGGTCAGGAGTCCCCAGATCTGAGCTGAAATTATTTATGTGTTTTAGTTAACTGTCAGTTCTGTCTTTGCAAAATCCACAATTCAGTCCAAACCAAAGTTTGAGATTATAGACAAATACCACAAAAGGGTTTCCATTAGTCAAAGTAAAAATGTCAATTTAACCTACACTATTTACCAAGGAAAAAGCCATTTTAAAAGGATGCAACTGTGACTTCGAAAATAGTAAAAGAAAATGGAGCATTTATACCCCACTCACCTTCCTTTGTATCATAAATACATTTTAATGGAAGAACGCAGAGATCAGCTGCTCAAGGCTTCTGATTCACAAGCTATTTACAGCACAAATTTACAGCACAACATTCTCTTGACAAAACAAAAACTGAGATAGTTTCCCTCAAATCACTGCCCTCTAAGATGCAGCTATTTCACAAGAGTATCAGCTTTCCCAGCCCTGCATGTACACTAGAAGCAGCAACCTTATTAGCCATTTTAGCTCGTGAATCAAAGCCCTTAGAAACCAGCGCTCAAAACGCGAGCAAACATTTCTTAGTGCAATAATTCTGCTATTCACTTTAAAGCGTTTACAGATTCTTAAATAATGTGCCTTAACACAGTCACAGAATACAGTGCCATATAGAAAAAAATAATATATATACACACACACGCGCGCTAAGTGTCTAACTGGTGTATCTAACATGAGGAGCTGTGAAAAGCAACAGATACAGTTAGTGAACATTGATGAGCTGGCAAGTGATGCCCTAACTATACACAAAGTGTTCGCTTTTCCATGAATGAAGTTTGCATTATTCAGTCTTGGAGCATGGAGATCCAAACAGTTTAGCCAAACAAACGAAGTAAAGCCATGCAGCCCTGATGAGACCAAAACTTCGATACTTTTGACAATGGAAAAATGCAGCAGTGGAACTAGCCGGCCTGAGCCATCATGCATTTAAAGCAGTTTAATGAAAGGTAACAGTAGAACCGTGGACTGAATAATACTTACAGAGTTATCAATTTACCTGACCCATAATTTTCCAAGCGGCTAACAATTAAGAAAATACAAGAGATGTTCAATTTATTTTTCTTTATCCATACTGGACAAGAGCATGCCAACAAATGGAGACAGGACATACATTCATCTACTGCCAAAGAGGGTTAGAACTCCTAAGTTATTTTAACTTCAGTTACTTTAACTTTGCTCTATCAGTCAATAGGCAATTGTTCAAAGGTTTTGTTCCATTCAGAGGTAGTGAAGACTTTTTTTTAATAGGGAAGTAGGGGGAGATAACAGACAAGATACTGAATTTTTTTTTTATGAAACTGTTTTTAGAAAATGCAGGCAGCATCTAACAAGCAGCATCAGGTGGGTATCACAGAGAAAAAAAGACAAGCTGACAGTTAAAAAAAAAAAAAAACCACCCTAAAATCTTTGTCATCTTAAAAAAAGATCACACCCATCCAGCAGTACAGAAAGACATCAGGTCCAACATCTGAAAACCTGAACACGAAGTGGTACCACTGAGGCAAAGTGCACACACTAAATGGCATGCTGAAAGGAAAACGTCACTGTGACCACCATGAAGTACTACAGTAGAGACCGTCGCTGGTTTGGCTGAGAGTCATTAACTGACACAGAGCCATGCTTTCCAAGGGTTTGATCACATGCTTACAACAGACTTTGCCAAACCACTGCATAGGCACCAAGTACACAGTTGAGACCACAAGCCCATTTAACAGTTAAGCACACAGTTCATTTCAAGCATGGACTTCAATTAATGGGGACAAGCATGTGCTTAGTTCTAGGCACATGAGTAACTGTTGCAAAGACTGGAGGCTTGAAGAAGTCCTCACGTTTTTCTGTGGTGAGCTAAACATCAGGAAAAGGTCTCAAATGAGTTGTGCATGTCTAAGTCATACTCCTGAGAATTATTTCATTCTAGCAACTTTTAATTTAGGGTTATTCACTTGTCTCATCCCACCATCTCCAACGAACAGTCAGCCCAGATAAAAACGAAAACAAAACCACAAAAACAAAACCCACACATCAGTCAGGCAGAAAATGATCATTACTATGAAGTGCTAATTTTGAGACCACTAATTTTACAGTACTGTAAAGTCTGAACAAAGCTGCTGATTTGCACTTAGGTGGACTTGCTTCAGAGGATGAGCATCACTAGGACCTCTCTGGGTTCGACACAAAACTCTACCCTTATGAAGGATTTTTTTTTTTTTTTTTCCCCCTCTTTTCTTCTATGCCAGTCTGAGACTCGTCTTTCTAACAGCTCCCTGCTCTGGAAAAGCAGTAAGACTTGGGCATACATAGAGAGGGTATCAGCTTGGCTGCTGAAACTCCCCTCTACATTCTGATCATGACCAGCATTCACCACTTCAGCTTCCTGATTTTTTGACGTCCACATACCCTCTGTCAGTCCACCTTAAACAGTCCTGCAGAACTGTAAGTCTTATCACATCACTTCTCTGCTGATGTTTCTGATGACTCCTCTTCTCTACTGCAGACATACTGTTGTTCTGACACCTGCATCAGTTGCGTATTTTTGATCACCCGACTTCTACTGCGCTTCTCTGTTACAATAACCTGGGGGTTGCTATTTGATTTTTCTTGCTGTTGACATCTGTAGCTTTCTGGAGGTAAACCCAAGAAGAGTGTAGATTCATCCCTCTCTTCCCATTTAGATCCCTCCCAAAAACTCCCATTTGCTTCTTCTCTTGAGCCCAGCCATCAGTTACAGCCATTCATCACCACAGACCAAATTTCACTGATTACAATGGCTCACCCTCACATTGTTGGTGCTCTAAAGCCAAAACACAAGTTAAAGGTGGGAAACTTAGAAGACCTTCAAGTTACATTATTTGAATAACACCTTTTGATCTCAGCATCTGTTAACTGCTCAAAAGCTATGAATCAATTCTGCTGCCCTCTACCATTTAGCATCTTTCACACAGGTATAAGCAATTGTATTGGGTTTGCGTGGCAAAGTTTTGGTAGTGGGGGAGCTACAGGGGTGGCTTCTGTGAGAAGCTGCTAGAAGCTTCCCCTGTGTCCAACAGAGCCAATGCCAGCCAGCTCCAAGACAGATCCACTGCTGGCCAGGGCCAAGCCCCTCAGCAATGGTGGTAGCGCCTCTGTGATAACAGATTTAAAGGGAAAAGGTTGCTGTGCAACTGCACAACAGCAGCCAGAGAGAGGAGTGAGAATATGTGAGAGGAACGACTCTGCAGACACCAAGGTCAGTGACACCAAGGAGGGGCAGGAGGTGCTGCAGGCACCAGAGCAGAGATTCCCCTGCAGCCCCTGGTGCAGCCCATGGTGAGGCAGCTGTGCCCCTGCAGCCCAGGGAGGTCCATGGGGGAGCAGATATCCACCTGCAGCCCGGGGAGGACCCCACGCCGGAGCAGGTGGATGTGCCTGAAGGAGGCTGTGACCCCATGGGAAGCTCACGCTGGAGTGGGCTCCTGGCAGGAGCTGTGGACCCGTGGAGAGAGAGGAGCCCACACTGGAGCAGGTTTGCTGGCAGGGCTTGTGACCCCGTGGGGGACCCACGCTGGAGCAGTCTGCTCCTGAAGGACTGCACCCTGTGGAAGGGACCCACGCTGGAGCAGTTCATGAAGAACTGCAGCCTGTAGGAAGGACCCACGTTGGAGAAGTTCATGGAGGACTGTGTCCATGGGAGGGACCCCACACTGGAGCAGGAGAAGAGCATGAGGCGTCCTCCTCTGAGGAGGAAGGAGCAGCAGAGACAACGTGTGATGAACTGATCGCAACC